CCCCCCGGTCCCCCCCCCTTCCCCCCCCCTCCCAAGAAGCCCCCCCGCTGCCCCCCCCCCCCCCCCCGCGCCGGCCCGGCCGTGCCCCCCGCCCTAATCCACGCACTAATTGTAATCCCATTAAAGCAGATATAATTTTATTAGTATTCACAGCTCATCAAGGCGGCGACAATAACCGGCGCTGCCGCCGTGCCGCGGCCAGACAACCGCCTGCGCCGGCGGGAAGCGGGGGGCCCCCGGCGCTGCGCCGCGCCGAGCCGGCACACGGCTCCCGCTCCGGCCCTGCTCCCGCTCCGGCTCCAGCCCGGAGCTCGGCAGCGGCAGGGGGCTCCTCGCCGGCTGCGCCCTCAAAGCCCCCGTGCAGCGAAGCCCGGTTGAGCCCTGCCCGGCCGCAGCCGAGCACATGCCGCAGACAAAGCCGCGCGGGCAGCTCGCCGCGGACGCCGGATCCGGTGACCCCGCGCCGGGGCCGGTTGGCCGTGCCGAGCTCGGCCGTGTGCCCTGCTTTGTCCAGCTCCGGCAGCTGCCGCGGCGAACACGCGCCGCGAACCCCTTCGCACCCTGACACTTCGGCGCCGAATATCGAGCCCGGGCTCGGTGACCTTCCACCGCCGCGGCCCCGCGCATAACGGCCTCCCTGTCCGCCCCGAACGCGCCTCCGTGTCCCGGCACCGGGATGGAGCCCGGGGTCACGCTCCTCCCGCGCCGGCGGAGCGGCTGGGCGGGGGGATGTTCCCCCCGTGTGTGCGAGTCCTCACCCCAAAACCACCGGGCGCGGTGACAGCGAGGTCGGCACAAAGGGAGGCCGAGCTCCCGGGGCCGCGCCGAGCTCGCGGGGCCGCGCCGAGCCTCCCCGGCCTCCCACACCGCGGGCGCCCCGACCCCTCTGACCTGTGTGCGTGGCCATGGAGATGGGCGCCGGGAAGTACTTGGTGGGCTGGAAGTGTCCGGGGGGCTGCACGGCCCCGTGTGCCGACCCCGCCACGCGCCCCGTGCCGTGCCGGTGGCCCAGGCTGCCCCGCTCCGACAGCAGCCGCGGCGGGGGAGCGAAGTCACGGCCGTCCATGCCGGGGGCACCCACCCGCGGGGGGCTCGGCGGGACCCCGACACGGCTCGTGGGCGATGCTCAGCGCCGCGCCGGGCCGGCTCGGCGGGCGTCGTGCCGCGCTCCGCGCCGGGGCTGTCGGCTCATCCTCCGCTCCTGGCACGGGGAGAGAAAGGAGAGAGTGAGAGCACAGCCGGGGTGGGGGTACGGCCATCAGTGCACCCCAGAGCCCCCGCGCCCCAGCACTCCGCTCCCCGTTTCCCCGGTACACAGCCCGCTTTCTCTGCGGTTCGCAGGGCCCCGGGTTCCCTGGTACCGGCGGCGCGCGGTCCCCGCTCTCTGCCATCCCCGGAGCACGGCCCCCCCCTTTCCCCGGTACTCCCAGTTCGTGATCCCCAGTTTCCCCAGCGCACAGCCCCCCCACTCCGTGTTCCCGCTGCTCCCGGAGCGCAGCTCCCCCTCTATCCAGTGCTCCCGGTTCCCAACCCCGCTTGCCCCGAGCCCGGGCCCGGTTCCCGCTGCTCCGACCCTTTCTGGCCGCTGCTCGGGTTCCGGTTTCCCGGCGCTCGGTTCTTTTATCTCCGCCGGTTCACCGACCGTATCTCCCTGGGGCTCGGCCCCGCTCGCCCTCGGCTTCCCCGCTTCCCGTTGTCTCCCCGGAGCTCGGCGCCTCCCTCGCCGCGGTTCCCCGGTTTCCTTCCTTCCCCAGCCCCGGTTCCTCGGTCTTTCCCCTTCTTCCCTCCAGCCCGGTTCCCCCGTCCCCGCTCCCCCGATATTTCCCCGCTGTCCTGACCCTCCTCTCCCCGGTTCCCCGGTCCGTCCCCGGCGCCCTGCGCCGGTTTCCCGGTATTTTCCCGGTCTCCCGGCCGCGGTTCCCGGTCTCTGCCGGTGCCCGGCCGCGGCTCCCGCCCGCCGGGTCATTGTTCTGGCAGCGCCGGGGCCGGGGGGCCCGATCCGGCGGGGGGAGCCGGGCACGGGCCGGGCGGCGGCGAACAAAGGGGCGCGGGGCGGCGAGCGCGGCCGGGGGGCGCGGGGGGCCCGGCCGGGGCCGCGGGGAACGGGGGGAGCGCCGGGGCGAGCCCCAGGGGAAGAAACACGGGCCGGGAACAAAACATGTGTATTTCCTTAAATGAAGCTGAGGAAAATACGTGAAAAAGGTTGTTTTGCTTTCTTTTTGTGTTGTTGTTTTTTGTTTTTAATTGAGATAAAAAAACAAATGCGAAGCGAAAAAATTAATGGGAAATAACTGAAAGGGAAAAATATTTAAAGCAAAAAAATTGAAAGCGAAAAGGGCTCGATGCGAAAATGTTTGAAGGCGCAAACGGTTTAGTGAAGCAGCGTTTGATGAGCAAATGATTAAATGAACAAATGTTTTCACGCACAAAATTTTAATGAACAAAATTTTAAGGCGAAGCGATTTGAAGCGACGAGTGTTAAGGTGAAAATGTTTTAATATAAAGAGATAAAAGGGAAAATATATTTTAATGGGAAAATATGAAGGGGAAATATTTTGGTGGAAAGAGATATAGGGAAAAATATTTTTGGGGAAAAAAGATGAAGATAAAAAATATTTTTGCAGGAAAAATACGAACGTACAAAATATTTTGATGCCGAAAAGATGCAAATAAATATTTAGGTGCGAACAGATAGAGCGAAAAAATAAATAATAAGGTAAAAATGAAAAAAAAAAAAAAAGCAAATTTGCAAAAAATAAATTGAAAAAAATGCAAAATAATTAGCGTCCAAAAATTTAAAACGCAATATCCAAGTAGTCAAAGAAAAAAAAAACGTAATACCCAAAACACAAATAAAAATAATGCCCGAGACGCAATTTAAAAAAAAATAATTAACGCCCAAAAAACCAAAATAAATAGCGCCAAAAAAAATTGTTAAGGCGTAAAAAAAAAAACAAAAAACCAAAAACCAACAAAAAACACAATAACCCCGGAGCGCCCGAAATTAAAATAACCCCCAAACAACAACAACAACAACAACAAAAAAAACCCACCCGCGGATCGCAGTTACTTACCGGAGGGGCGTTCCGCGCGCGGGGCGAGTGCGGTCCCGTGGCGGGGGTGCGCAGCGTGCTCCTGCCGGTGCCCGTGCACTGCCCATGCACCGGCTGCTCCTGCAGCAAAGGGAACCGGGGGTGTGTGGTTGGGGGG